AAAAAAAAAAAGTAGAAATAAATGTCATACTGTCGGTTTCAGAAGTGCCTTGCTGTGGGGATGTCTCATAAGGCCATCAGGTTTGGGCGGATGCCACAGGCCGAAGAGAAGCTATCGGTGGAGATCTCCAGTGATATCGACCAGCCGAACCCAGAGTCTGCTGATCTCCCGGCCCTGGCAAAACATTTGTGTGACTCATACATAAAGTCCTTCCCGCTGACCAAAGCAAAGGCCAGGGCGATCTTGACAGGAAAGACAACAGACAAATCACCATTTGTTATCTAAGACATGAATTCCTTCATGATGGGAGAAGACAAAATCAAGTTTAAACACATCACCCCCCTGCAGGAGCAGAGCAAAGAGGTGGCCATCCGCATGTCTCAGGGATGCCAGTTTCGCTCTGTGGAAGCTTTGCAAGAGATCACAGAGTACGCCAAAAGTATTCCCGGTCTTGTGAACCTTGACTTGAATGATCACGTAACTCTCCTCAACTATGGCGTCCATGAGACCATTTACACGATGCTGGCCTCCTTGATGAATAGAGATGGGGTTCTCATATCAGAGGGCCAAGGATTCATGATGAGGGAATTTCTAAAGAGCCTGCGAAAGCCCTTTGGTGACTTTATGGAGCCCAAGTTTGAGTTTGCTGTGGAGTTCAATGCACTGGAATTAGATGACAGTGACTTGGCAATATTTATAGCTGTCATTATTCTCGGTGGAGACCTCCCAGGTTTGCTGAATGTGAAGCCTATTGAAGACATACAAGATAACCAGCTGCAAGCCCTGGAGCTCCAGCTCAAGCTGAACCACCCCGAATCCTCCCAGCTCTTTGCCAAGCTGCTGCAGAAAATGACAGACCTCAGACAAGTTGTCATAGAACATGTGCAGCTATTGCAGGTGATAAAGAAGACAGAGAAAGACATGAGTCTTCACCCCCTCCTACAAGAAATCTACAAGGACTTGTATTAGGAGAGAAGTCCTGATCCACTGACAACATTTTCCTTCCAATTGCACTATTATTTTGAGGGAAAACCTGACACCTAAGAAATTTATTGTGAAATAGCATTTTAAAAAGAAAGGGTTTTAGAATATGATCTGTTTTGGCCGGCCCAGTGGCGCACTGGATAGTGCGCCGCGTGGGAAGTGCT